TTTGCATCTTCCTCTGGCTCTTCCTCTTCATCTACCAGCTCTACTATACGCTCTGTACAAGCTTTCTTAAGAGGTCTTGGACTCTCTTCCTTCACCAGAACTATCGTTTTCTTCCTTTTCTTTGCTACCGGCTTTGTATTGACCCAAGTACTGGTGACTTCCCAGCAATCCATGCTCCACTTCCATGGTTTCTTTATGTACATGAGTTTAATTATGTTCTCCGCGGCCGGATCATCATCATCAGAGTCCCATCTTGGAAACATTTCAGCAATGCCCTTCTCAACAAAGTTCATAACACTAGTCTGCAGTAAATAGAAGATATAAACTTAGATATTTGACGGATTAAGAAAAATAAAAAAAAAAGAATTCGCAGAAAAACTTATGCTTAAGTCGTCTAGAAATTCATCCAACTGGACGACTTAGCGGACAACTTAATAAGTCGTCTGAAAAGTCATCCAGCTAGATGACTTAACAGACTACTTATTATTAAGTCGTCTAGGTAGTCTTCCCAGACGACTTAATGATAAGTCCTCAACTAAGTCATCCAGCTGAAAGACTTTTCAGACGACTTATTTTTAAGTCGTCTGCTAAGTTGTCCAGTAGGAAGACTTTCCAGACGACTTAATCATAAGTCGTGTGCTTCTGGAGTAAAGTAAATACATGTCTTTCAATGGCATCTTTAAAACATCTTCGTCCTTTGCCACCCTTGTAAGCTAGTATCGGTGGAGACGGTTTGTTTGGTATGGGCTGACCATAATTAGCACCCAATTCCGGCAGATCTGTGTACACCCAGACCTGGAGAGCTTGTACAAACCCATCAATGGTGTAACAACCAGATATATCTTTGCCCTTCACAAAGTCCATCAATACCTTAAACGCGACTCTCCCCCATGGATAATTCTCAAACCGTTTTAGATCCATCACTAGCCTAGCCAGAATAGCCCGTGTAGGGGTTAAAAACTTCCTCCCTTCAATGTATCCAGCCAAGATGACAAGGTACCCAAACCGCTTGCGATCATCCGAAGACCACCTTTCGCATCTCCCAAATGCATCTATTATCTGATCAGTAGTTGGCCGAGCTTCGACATTAACTCCCAGAAAACAACCAACTCCTTTGTAACAGGACAATTTGGTCTCTCAAGGTCCTCAATGTACTCACAGTTTAGACCAGTGAGGTATTCAAACTCGAACAGTGAAAACCTCAAAGGTTGTGGACAAGCAAGACTCCACAGCTCATACTTCTTCTTTATGTCGACTTAGTTGAAAGTCGTCTGAATAGAATACTTATGGGGGTTAGACGACTAATAATTAAGTCGTCTGACAAATCTTCCGGCTGGATGACTTTCCAGACGACTTAAAATATTAGTCGTCTACTAAGTCGTCCAGGCTTTATGAGTATGTTTTAAGAATTTGTGTTAGAGTTCTTAGACGACTAATAATTAAGTCGTCTGGCAAATCTTCTTGCTGGATGACTTTCCAGATGACTTAATTATTAGTCGTCTACTAAGACCATCCACAATGGTGTTACCATGGTTTGTACATAGAGGACAAAGGAGTTGTAGTTATAATAGTTGATCATCCATTACAAGTCATAGGTTTAAAAACATTTAGAAACAAGGGAACAACAACATAGAAGTCATCCATTACAAGTCCACTAGAAGCAGATTACAATAAGACAATAGCCAGACAAACATGCATCATTTAGGAAGAGACGAGGAAGTTGAGGCACCATCAGCAGCATCATCCCCTTGAGGAGGTGTATACTGAATCTCAGTAAAACTAGGACCGAAAGGAGTCACATGAAATACCATGTCTCCTTCCTTTTTGAACACGACAATGTCACCGATGCAAAGGGAGTGTGCTTGGGCGAAGGCTTTCCAACCATCGGTGAGTCTTCTTCCTTCTTGTATAACTTCCCAAGTTTGGTGTGAAGCGTCCGATCGTAGTGTCCATTTTCCTTGGTTCGGCTTGCCTTCTATGTCTTTTGAGTAGAAGGCAACTGGTATTGTCTACAAGTCAACAAAGGAGAAGTTAAGCAAAGGAAATAAACAGATGAGAAATAGAGAGCGTGTGTATACCACGCCACTGTAGAAACAAGGAAGCAGAGGCTTCAAGAAGTGAGGTTCATGCTGATTCGCCATCTGCAAACAAGAAACGAAATGGAAACATTTTAATTCTAAGTCTGGAAGACTTATATTAAGTCGTTTGGGTCGTCCACGTGGAAGACTTTTCAGACGACTTAATTATAAGTCTACCAAGACTTTCAGTAGAACATTTGAAAGCTGACTAGACGAATGAGAGGAGAACAATATCCAAGCTAACTAGACCACAAATCGATTGAAATCCACAATCTTTGAAACCCTAATTTGAAATGAAAATATCCACAAATTGCTTGAAATCACAAATCGTAACCGTAAAATGAGAGGAAAACAACATCCAACCTAACTAAACAACAAATCGATTGAAATCCCCAATTTTTGAAACCCTAATTTGAAACCAGAATTTCCCGAAATCGTTGAAAACACAAAACCAAACGGTAAAAGTAAAGGAAAACAACATCCATCCTAATAAAAACCCATAAATCTGCAAGAGAAGCCTTCGATTTACCTTCGTCTTGTATCGGATCGAAATCGCCTCGAAATCACCTTTGAGAGAAACGGCAATAGGGTTTTCTGAATTTCGCGAAAAGTAAGTTAAAAAAAAAACATCTTATATATGTTCGGTAAAAAATACAGTTAGGTTTAAAAGTAATTTGGTAAAATCCGGTTTGGACGACTTATAATTAAGTCATCTGTTGATACTATACATCCGACTAAGTCGTCTGCCTTATTAAATATATTTACCAGGAGACTTAATTATAAGTCGTCCATACCCTAAACCCTAAACTAAATTGACTAAATTAATTAACTAACCACGTTATAAAATCAAATTATACTTAAATAGTGTTTACTATACACAGAAATAAACACACTTAGGTAAATTTTTAATTTTTCAAAAAAAACATTTATACTTTCGAAAATCTAACCCCAAGAAACACATACAATACTACAACATATGTTGGTGAAACCTAAACTAAAGAATATCATGACTCACCACTTTCACTCATCTATGCTGAAAACAACTGACTTTTGTTATATCTTAATTTATATCTCTTAAGACATATGTTAATTACATAATCCCAATTTTTCATTTATCAAGATATTTATTACACAAATTTTAAATTTTTTTTAAGAAAAACTGTACCAGACGACTTGCGAGGGCTAGAAACATAAAAAAAATACCATTTTTTTGTTTGTTTACAAGGGGTTGGTTGTAATTTCAATAGCCTTTTAAGTTACTTTTGCATTTGATTCATTTTTGGGTTTATTTACATTTCAAATCAAGTTTTGAGTTAAATTTGGCAATTTTCCCTATAATATTTTTGATTAGTAGTTTAAATCCCCTATATATTAATCATGGAGCATTACAACATTTTTTGGTAGCCACGTATCACAATGAGAATGATTTTCATAATTCTTAAAGAAATATGTTGATCCAACTAAACATGTTATACTTTTATTATACTAACTATCATATTTAATTAGTAATGTACAAAAGAATTTTTCATATTTTTTCCTTAGATAGCAGCTACGAAATTATCTAATATGATTAACATATATATCACAATTAATGGTTATGAATAATAAAGATTTAATAACAATTTTTTATCCTCTTTAATTTTTCTTTTATTTTATAATATTAAAAAATTAAACAATCACATTAATCATCTAATTAAAAATTAGATTTTTTTCTTATATGTTATATTTTGAATTTTTAAAACGATCATAAATTACTAAAAATGGTAAAAATCTCACATTAAAAATTTTGTGATTAATGATAACGTTTTTTAGTTCAGCCATTCGTTTTTCTAATGGGTCTTAAACAGTTTATAATGATTAACTAAATAGATCGCGCATAATAGAATGTGTTTTGTTTAAAAATTATTGCATACCAAAAGCCAATATGAACCATCATTCTTTTCGTTTAAATTTTTGTTACAATAAAAAAATATATAGTTGGGCAAAAAAATTGAAAAAAAAAAACGAACCAAATCTAATCCAAATTAAGTAGTACACAAATTTAACCAAAATTAGTTAGATATCCAAACGGATTCAAAATTTTGGTATTTAGAGAGCCAAAACTGAATCGAAATATCTCGTTATTCGAGTGTACTCGAACCAGATTTATATAATTAAAAATATTAATTATTTTTAAATTTAACATCTAAGAATATACAAAATACATGAGATTTTTTTAAAATTCTCCAAAATACTTAGAAATATATAAAATATTTAAATATACATTTAAAATAGCTAAATGATACTCCAAATACCAAATATATTTGAATTTTTTATTGATATTTTGTCCAAATATTTAAGATAAACCATTTCTATGTTAAGTTTAAGTATTTTGACATTCATTTTTCAAACTTAGATGTTATATATTATTTTTACTTTTAGATTTTGAAAATTTAAAATATATATAAATTTTAATCTCTTAAAAAATAAATAAATGGGTTATACGAACCTGCAAAGATTCGAACCAAACCGCAAAAATCTAAACCAAACATAATCTAACCGAACCAAATGATACCCAAATGTTCATCCCTAATCAAATGTAAAAGAAAAATTATTGATAGCAAAATATATATTTAAATACAACACATTTCTAAAAAGCTCACACCACGCATAGAGCTGGTTATTATCTAGTGATTATTATTAGTCGATGTTATTCTACCTGAATAAAGCATTAGAGTCAACTGAAAGAGAGACCGGGATCTTCTTCCTTTTTTCCCATCAAAAAGTCTATATATTATTTTAGTTTGTTCCAAGTGAACATTGCGTTCTCAAATCTCAAGTATCTGCACAGCCGTACGTTTCTCTGGATTAAGACGAAATGTAACTTTGTATTCTATTCTGTCTATGTAAAACCGAAAAGAAAGAAAAAAATAGATCATTGAAGTTGGAAAATATATGTTTCACATTAATCCCTGGGGCCACCCTTCCGCAAATAAAACAGTTATATTCACAGAGAATCAAAGAAGAAAGAAAGAGGTTCGGAATGAAGACAAAAGACACGTTCTTGGGTCTCAAAGTGCTAGTGAGAAATTCTCAGCAATGATGTTGTTACCCTCTTCACGAGTTCAAGACTCTTTCAATGGCGGAAATGTAGAATTCTTTGGGCATTGTACCCATGATTGACTCTCGTTTCTCCCCGTTCTTGAAGAGAAGCACTACAGGTACAGCCTTTATCTCATACTCTTCAGCCACTAACGAGTCATTGTCTGCGTTTAGGACATAGCAGTTTACCTTTCCAGCGTAGTCCATTGCAATTTCGTTTATTATCCTATGGACCATCCTGCATGGACCGCACCAACTCGTGTAGAATTCTACTAGCACGGGCGTTTCACTTTTCAGGACCGAGTTTTCCCACGACCTTTGTGTAACTTCAGCTGCTGCACATAGTCAAACCAGGAAATCAAAGGACATAAGGGTTTCAAAAATTAATAATCTTCGTGTGATACTAATAATTGAAACAAAAACAAAAACCATCACAAATATAAGGAGTGTCCCATCTCCTGTATAACTGAAAATGCTGATAAATACTTCAACATGTCAACCTAAGCATCTATATATTTCTATTATTGTGCTAAGCTGTGGAAGTTGACTAGAGCTGTAGTATTGGCATCAGAATAATGGTATGATATATATCGATATTCCATCTAGCTGTAAGATAAGAGATTAGGTATCGAAAGCATTTGGTTATTCAGTAGTACCATCTTATTTTGTTCTAAGCTCCTTAGCTCAAACTTTATCAATGGCCATGATATGCATCGTAGTTTCCTACGCTAGTTTAAGTGCCTTTCGATCTTCACACTCTTTGGCCATATCTTTGTTTCACAATTAAATTCGTGGCCACTGCAGATATCTCACAGAATTACCCTGTTTAACTTAACAAGATTTATATAGTCTCAAGTTTTCATACTGTTCTGATTCCATATATCTCAAAGATCACAGCTTCTAAACTAGATCGAAAACAAGGAACAAGCTAGACCTACACTTATCATCGTAACGATCATTACAACTTCAGAGCTTATAAGGTTACTAACTAAGTAAATTCTAAATCAAGAAAGCACAATCATAAGGTTACCAACAAAGTAAGTCTAAATCAATCTTGATAATATCTAAATATAGCAGACTCGGTTGATATTTTCCCTGACATCTACTTAACGAAGCACACATACTATTGATTCGTAAACCTGTAAGAATCGAAGAACACAAGAAGTAGCCAAAGATCAAACGTCATCAGTAGACTGTATACCTTTGGAATCACGCACGCAGAGTGCAGAGAGTCGGAAGCGAGAGCCAGAGGAAGATACGAGGGATCGTCTATCCGAGAGAAGTAGGGAGCGAGGGGAGGTGCTAGTGACAGGGAAGAGACGCGACGAAGAAGATATCGATCGAGCTGAGGGCAATCGAGCGAAGTTGAAACAATTAGGAGATGAAGAAACCGCCATTGAAGAAGAGTGATTTGAGAAGTAGAGAAAGATTGTGATTTGGGGGGTTTTCGTCAGAAATATAAAGTTTGGGGGAGAAGAAAAGGGAGTCAACATTATGTGCCCTGACTAGTGAAATGCTGGAATGCTCTTAACGAGACAACATTCATTCTTGGGAAAATTGTCATTTAAATCCCGAACTTTCAAATTTGGTTGAAAAAAAACATGAATTTTCTCTTGGACCATTTAAAACAGCAACTTAGTTTGAATAGCCATTTTAAACTTCAATTTAGTTTGACTAAACCAAATCAAACACGACGTTAACTCGGCTAACAGATTCATTAGACGGAGTTAATCACCATCTCTAATTTCCGTTAAGTTGTCTAAGCGACGTCGTTTTAAAAATTTTAAAAATATACAACCGGAGGGAATCGAACCCGAGACCCAAAGGCAAACTCACTCCAAGACAAAACCACTAGACCAAAAATTTTAGTCTTGGAGTGAGTTTGCTTTGGGTCTTGGGTTCGATTCCCTCCGGTTGCATATTTTTCAAAATTTTTAAAACAACGTCGTTTAGATGACTTAACGGAAATTAGAGACGGTGATTAACTCCGTCTAATCGATCTGTTACCCGAGTTAACGTCGTGTTCGATTTGGTTTAGTCAAACTAAATTGAGGTTTAAAATGGTTATTCAAACTAAGTTGGTGCTTTAAATGGTCCAAGAGAAAGTTCATGCTTTTTTTCAACCAAATTTGAAAGTTCGGGATTTAAATGACAATTTTCCCATTCATTCTTACATATTCTTACTCATTTTTACATATTATTTCTATTATGATATTCTTCATAAGATTGGTTTTAACGTTGAAAGTGCCCCTATCTACCTGGCCGAATTAATGACCAATCAAAATCGAGAAAACTCTGAATTATTTTAATTTCCAAATCGAGAGTGATTTGTTTTTTTCTCTCTTATCTGCGGGATTCATTTCTGTCTTCTTCTTCATCGTTATCATTGCTTAGGTCGGTTGAATTCGTCCGCTTGGATACTAAATCATTGAGTTATTGCTTCCGTTGACATGATATGTATCTTAAATCTTTCCTAACTCGTCGTAACCCAATGTTTAGAATCCACCATACACGATCGATTTACAGAGATTCCAAAATATAATTCTAATTGGACTAGAGTAATTGAGGATCAGAATGTATGAATGGGTCTGTCTATTATGGAATTGGATAATTAACAATTGTAATCATAAGAAAAAGAAAAGATAAAACGTCGGGAATCCAAGCTGATAACTATTGAAATGAATTGAAGAGGGAGAAAACGAATAACTAGAACTAGAAAAGTTGGTAAAATTTGGGAAAGTTAGAAAAAGTTAGTTACTGACAAAACTGTGTAACAAGGTATAACTTCGTATAACTATCATGCTATAATTGTATAACCAGGAAAAAAATCAAGTATAACTTAGTAGTTAAATTTTTTTTTAATTGCAGATGAGCCTTTCTTCTACAGATATACACTTTGATTATGATGGACATTATTCTGAGTCTGGAGATAATTATGAATGAACTCGAACTGATGGTCATTTGTATGGTATATCCTTTAGGACATCATCATTGGAGGAGATCACTTATTTATTGTTGAAGGAGAGAATATGCAGGAAGATGAGAATAGATCCGTTTACGAAGAGGCTGAAATTTGGTTACATACCACTAGTAGTGGAACCTAAGAGACAATCATATATTTTGAATGATGAAAATGTGTTTGTTTATCTAACATCGGTGGATAAAGAACAAAGAAGAAGTATTTTGCATGTCGAAGACACCCAAGAATTGGAAATAACTCAAATAACCGAGCAACTATCGAGAGTTGAGAATGAAAGCTCAAGTAGTAGGAACTATGGTGAGCGTGAGAATGGATATGGAGAAGAAGATAATATGGGTACTGGTTTGGAACATAAGGAACACAATGAACATCCCTACAAGAAACACAAGAGGACACATTGAAAGGTGAGATTTGTATTTGTGTTGTGCAACTAAGTGAAACTTTATCCTTTACGCACAATAGGTAAACTGAGTAATAGGTTTGTAAATTTTAAACTTGTTATGAAAGTACTAAGATGGTATGTTATGAGTTATTTTGGGTTGTGTTGATTATGATTTTATCAGAACAAAAAAAAAATTCTCGTTGGTTATTAGTAATCATGATGTCATTACACTGTCTTCTTATATGTTTTTCGTTAATATTCACCTTGTCTCATTTGAAATCTTACTAAGTAACAAAATCGAGTTTATGTATACATGAACAAATGAGAAATGAATCTAGTATACAGAACATAACTGGTATAACCATAAAATCAGTCATTATAATAGAGTAAAACCAAGATAAATGGAAAAAATTATGAAGTACAACTCTGATGTTTTCTGTAAAACTGCAAATTTGGTGAAACTTCAATCACGAAAATACTAGGCTAAAAATTTCCCTCCCACCATCTTTTCGAATTTCTAATCTAACTCTCCCCCCCCCCTTCCCAATCCAATTAGTACTAAAATCCTTACTTTTTCGTTTTCCCACATTCTCTGGATTTCACTTTCTCTCTCTTCCCTTTATCTCTCTTTCTCTTTTTTTTTTCTCACTCTCTCTCTCTCTCTCAACTGAAATCCCCCAATGTCGAACCCAATTACGTACGTTTCATCATCCACGACCGGTGGTCGGAGACGACGAGTAAAAACTCCGGGGATGCCCAAGAGGTGTTGGTGCGGGGAGAGCATCACCGGTATTATCGGTGTCTCAATGCAGCAAAAAAGAGGGTAACGTCCGTTTATCTTTAGTTATCAAAAGGTTGTTCTCTTAAATATTTTGAAAAAAACGTTGGAATGTTGTAGCTCGAGAAGGACGATCACGTCTTCAAATGGGTCGACGAAGCTTTCACCGATGAGATTGAACAATTGGAGTACCAAATTTGAATGCTAGAAGAAGAAGAAGTTCAATTGCTCAAAACAACAACAACAATAAGCAGTGAAGGTCCCAAAATAATGCCTAAGATAATGATAGCAGAATGTTGTGTTGTTAGTATCATCATTCTCGTTGTAGTTCTCGGTCGAATTATGATGTACAAGTGATTCCTAAAGTTAGTGACTTTGTCAAACATTATGTTTTCTCTTTTTGTAATTTATGAGAAGTTAAACATTATTTTTGTCTAAGTTTTTCCTAAGTTTCTCCTAAGTTATGTGAACTTAAACCACTACGAAGTATGGTCAATTGAAAAAGTTTCTCAAATGTTTACGATACTGGACAATTGAGAAATTGAACCTAACACAAAATTTGACCTGGTTATACGAACACCAACTTTCAAGTTAAGTTGAACTAAGAAAATTAGTAAACTGAAAAGTTTCCCAAATGTTTACAATGTTGGACAATTGAGAAATAGAACCTAACACAAATTTGACCTGGTTATATGAACACAGATTTCATGTTAACTTCAATTTATTCTTAGGTTCACGCACTTGGACAGTTACAAAAGTTAGGAAAACCATTTTTAATACACATTAACGCTGTTCAACATGACAAACCAAGTTTCATAAACACTAATACATTAGATAAAAGCTTACAAAGGCCCTATAGCTCCATACTTACGAACATAAGGATCACTGTTATTGACTGATTGTCTGAACTACTCTACCTCTGGCAAGCGCGAATTGAACCTGAAGTAAGATAAGTCCCCCTCGGTCTGAAGCCATTCTTCTACAGGACCAGAATAGGCTGTATAAATGAGTTTAGAGAAGGTTTTAGTCAACTAACACATTTAAACCTGAACACATAAGCATAAAATTCACATACGCAAATAGTCGCGGACCCTCCACATCTTAAGGACCACAATCACCTGTCGATGACCTCCCTTGTTATCAAACCCTTCCCGGAAGGCATAAGCATGTTTCCCAGTTGCCACAGATTTTATCTAACTCTCACTATGATGAATAAAACAAGGTGAGTCAATTACACGTCAATTACACTAATGCAAACATTTTGTTTTGATCATATGTTATTTAATACTTACATGTTGTACGTTATGTAAAACACTATCTTTGGTTCTTCAGGATCATCGAAATGGGCTTCCGTCTTAAAGACCACTCCCATTGTATGTACCAGATAAGTATATGCGATTCCGTTACTTACATATGAAATATATTTATTAGTTAGAATTCATACCTATGGATTTCTCCTTGTAGCTCATGTGAGGGATTTCATGAATGCCTTTGAACTCAAAGTAAAGATGATCGTTCAGAGGATCGATGATGTGGATTTGGGTATCGCCAGTAGCAATTAGTGTGAATTTTGATTTTGTTGCCTTGAAACCTGAATGGGCACGGCCAACTTCTAAAATAAAGATTTCCACCCATTTTCCCTCTTGCTTCTCTAGGCCTCTAAACATATCTCCATATATATCATAGATGGTCATCTCCATCTTGGTTCCCTGCATAAATTAAGTTCAACAAGTGAGTTTATATTTTCCATTGTTGTTATTAGAAACTTGAGAGATGATGATTTTGTACTTACATATTCATCTGCTAGAACATAAACATGGTGTGGTCGTTTGCCGGTAACATAGGAATAAAAAGGATAGATCCATATGATTTTCACTCTGAAACGCCAATGTTTGACCTTCTCGTTATAGACAACTTCACCAAGATTATTGTAGTGTTCCATATTTGAAAGATGATGAATTATTTCTTTATGGTGAAATGTTTTTAGATATAAAAGAGACGATTTAACTTAACTTACTACGGTGGAGTGGAGATTAATTTTAGGGTTTCTTAAATTGAATGCAAATGCAATGATGATCTGGTTTAGTGTTGTGGGATTTAAATAAAGTGTAGTGATGATCATAGGCGACTGTTCGTGTGAAAAGTCGTGTCTTTCTTACTGAACTCAACTTGTTGTGTTGGGGTAATAAATCTGAAAATTATGGAGGGGAACGCACCGTCCATCAAATCACTCTTAAATGGAAGTGTTACAACTTGTAGTTGGGTAATAAATCATTATTACACAAATTAAATTACTCTTCATTTCGCATCCCCTATATTTCTTACTGAATAATATATTTATTTCTTAAAGGTTTACTTAGTTTCATATATTTATACTATCAAAATTGTTACACTATCTAAATTGTTAAACGTTTGCTTAGTTTCATATATTTAGACAATCTAACTCAGCTTTTTCACTAAGTTTTAAAAAGTTATTTATTTTTATCATTTAAAGATTTACAAAGTTTTAAATCCAACGCATGCGATTGTTGCAGTCAGAAATTGTGCCTTCTCGAGACCTCCATCATATCACCCTTAACTGCCGTGATAAATTCAATCTTATCTCTTCTCCATTGTTGAGGATTATCGCTATTATAAAAGGGTTTATGATTTTGTCCAAATAAATAAAACGTTAATCTTTCCATTTACGTGATTAGACAAATATCTCACCATGTCGAACTCTAACTTGGCTTCTCTTCCTTCTTTCATGCTTCACAAGATTCTCTCTAAGGTAGCAACAAACCATCTTCGGGACTTCGGTAGTGAAAGAGTTGCATTACTTGCCTTCAAGCAAATTGGCAGAGAAGAATACTTCTACAAATCTGCAGATCTTATTCACTTCAATGACTGTATTGATGAGGTTAATGCTGTCAGAACATACAAGCTTATGTGCTACTGAGCCGGTAATCCACAGGCCATCAACATGCGATGTATGTATGAGTTCTTCGTCCTCCATTTACTTGATCAAAGAAGGGAAAAAATTTGTCTTGCTGGTGAGAGGGGATTTTTTGTTGGCCAAGTACGTTGATGATATGCTCAACTTAGCATTTAGTGTTGATGATAGATGACTAGTTCACAACATTTCTACTTTTACATGTGAGTTTGCTGATCAGATGAATCACATGATCGCTACTGAGGTATCCGCAGGTCATTGGGGGTACAAAAAAAAACACAGATCTTTATGTCTCTATTGGAAAAGATATATCCCAACATCAATTATAATGGCTAGTGCTCTGAAATGATACAACCGGTGTTTGTTGTCTCATTAGATGGATCAAGAACACGGTGGAAATGCAATCGTTGTTTTTGGCAATGTGCAGTTTGGGACTTCTGCAATGATATTCATTTGACCGCTGCTCAGTGGCCAATTGAAGATTAGGGATGAAGTATTTCCGTGTGTTTATAAGTTGTTTATAAGTTATGCCATGCACCGTTATGTACTTTTCTAAACTTTATGTAAAATACATTTCCCTTAATGTAATGTCTATAGTTTTTATTTATTTTAATTTCACTAAATATATCAGTAACATAATGCAAATGAATAACTATGTTTATATGCCTTGGATTAATTATAATCAAAGTTGAATCGATATGTTATCAATAAATATATCAATAATATATTGCAAATGTACATGATAGAATCAATAGTTGAAAGTGTACTAAGTCTTATAGTTACTACAAGTGTGAATTAGTTCAACTTAGATTACAGTTACACATACAGCAAGTTATATAATTACACAAAGTTTCAGTAATGTTTCTGAATTTATGGAGATTGGAGATCCGAATTTTATGATTTGGGTCTGGATGGTCCGCGAAATACCCCTGGTTGCCTTGTAATTATTCGAGTTTCTTTCGGTGTTCTGGTATTTTACAAAATTTTCCTATTAAAATAAAATTTTATTCAGATTTATTTGGGGATGAATTTCGGGTAGGAGTATTTGGGAACAAAACTTCTCGGGAAAGGATACTGGAGCATTTGATTCAGATATGTGGGAAAACAATGAAAATGTCGAATTGTGGGTCCCAGTACACCGAACTATACTATTCACGTGGTAAATACTCAGGGGGTTCATTTTCTTCATGTTTAACCGGTTCATATTGTTTTAGAAAACAATTAAGGCTGTTGAAACTAAGAAATATCATTTTATCTCAGGCTAATTTAACTCGGTGAAATCAATTTTTTTTGACATTGGTTAATTATGCTATTGAAAACAACGAGAAAAATTTTAGACGATATCACAACCGACAATTCTACATACCTTATAAGAATTCACGAATAACTACATCACCTTGAGCCGCTCAATGTTCCAAACGATATTCCTTACGCCAAACTGAAAATCTCTTATGTTGGATTTAATTTGGGCTAACCAGTAAGCAATTCAAAATTGAGGAGTAGCACCGAATCCGGTAACATCAAAATCGACTCAATCCCAAATGGAGAAAAGGGATTAACATGTTCAAACTAAGATCCCGACAATCTCAGGGTAGCTGAGAAGACCTCGAAAAAGGGCACAAGCTATAAGAGAAGAAGATATAAGAGCAGAGACAAACATACATGAAACTCTAAAGACTTACACCAAACACATCGACCTCGAACTCGAGCTCTATCATCCTTATAACTTTGTATTTGATGCTTATTTCTTAACAGTTGTATTTTGATCTTTTTCTATCATTGTATTCAATCAAACCTTATTAATAAGAACTTCATTTTTTCAACCTGAATCCGGTTATATCGTTGTATTCTGAGAATATCATTGTCCATGTTATTTCTTCCATAATCTTTTTACATACAATCACTGTCAAATACCTAGTGTGGATTTTAGGGTCCACATTTTGGCTCTGTCTGTGGGGAAGAGAAACGAAAAACATCCTTACTAAGAATCTGATCTAAGATCCCAAATCCAAAAAGAATGATCGATGCCATTGTCCATGTTATTTCTTCCATAATCTTTTTACATACAATCACTGTCCAATACCTAGTGTGGATTTTAGGGTCCACATTTTGGCTCTGTCTGTGGGGAAGAGAAATGAAAAACATCTTTACTAAGAATCTGATCTAAGATTCCTAAGCATGATCATGGATCCCATACAAATCCAATCCGGTTCCACTGAAAAAAGAATGATCGATGCCAATCTCCCCAAATCCAAACGAAACTCGAAAGATGGAGCAAACGAACCAGAGCATGGCGACCAGGGCGACCCAAATGAAACAAACGCCCCCACCTGTGGGCACGACGGGAACCTCAATCCTGGAACGAACAAGTGCACAAGTCTGGAATCAAACTAGAGAAAAGCAGCCCGCATATGATAACATTACTCAAACTCAATCGAAGAGACCAATCTCTTCCACACCTTCGGTGAAAACCCAGGAAGAGATGACCAAACTATGAGGAATGGTTTTTGACACTCAGCAAAATTAAAATCATGAAACCAGGAGATAACATATCGAACCATGAGCCAACCAATTGGAAAAAACCAAAAGGGAACTCACTGCACATCGGGCCGAAGCTCTTAAAAAATTGAGAGATCAATCAGATCTGATAAATAATGCCCTGATCTGTCAAAGATAAACTGTGGGAGTTCTTGGAACTTCATCATTCCCTAGCTCTCGATCCATCCTACTCGAGGGAGAGAACTCGCGGCAAGAAAAGCGGCCTGGAACAACTTATCAAAGCTTAGACTACAATGGCCTAGATGGAGTACAAACCAGAGCTCCAGGGTCACAAGAACTTCTGAGCCAAGTTCAGAATTATCCAACCGGAAGACCAAGAGAGATATGATCTGGGGGACCCCCTATAGATTTTTGGATTCCTTAGAATATCTCCCTAGAAATCCAGAACACTTACCGAACCCAGGCTTCTGACCTCGCAAACAACGGAGACGAACCGAAGGCTACACCCCTCACAACTTCATTGATATAAACAAAAAAAGGGAGGACCCAAGATATTTTGACAAAACTGGAGCCTTCTAGAACTATATGGAAAGAAACAACGCTGATGTCATGAGAACACACGCCATCATGCATATGGAAACAAGCTCGGCTTCTGACATAAATAGAGTCATATAGGAGACCAGAAGATCCCTTTTTATCAACTGAATAGCCAGTGAAAGTTACACTACGTAAGGAAGATCAAGTTCCCAGAATATTCTAGGAGCACAAACCCAAAACCCCTTTGAAGCCTTTCGATTCACCATATCCAGGGCACATCTAAATGATGATGAGAAAGAGGCAGGTTACTGCCGTTTCTTTGTAAAAAATATCAGCGGCCCTGCCTTAGAATGGTTCACAATACTCGAAGGAAACTCCATCAATTATTTAACTTAGCTCGTATCGGCCTTCTTAGACCAATATTGGGTTTTCATAGAAATTAAAGCTACCGAAACTAAATAGACTCTAAAAAGTAACAGTTAGGTGTTAAAACACTCATATACCATGGCTAAAAGTGGATAAAATCCATGGCATATCACTTGTCCATGCAGGACCAGATCGCCGCACAACAACCTATCCGTTACACGATCGGGACAACGTATGAGGATACCGTGCATTCTCATCTCATTCACGTAACTCCTTCCTATGGACCTTAGTCGCTCTATCTTTTTTTCCATCTCAAGTAAAGATCATCGTAGAAACTTTACGACGGACCTCCAAGATTGGTTTTGTCGGACAAATTCAAGTCGATTAGGTAAACCGAAACAATTAACTTGTGACACTAATTCTTTCGGTTATACGACTTACTTAACACTTTAAAATAATGACGTCGTATCAAGGGTGGTTTATCAAAAAAAAATCGTAAAAATGCTTACGTCAAGGAATTGCCCAAAGCGTGTCCCAAAGCCCACATATGATTTTAACAAGATCAAGCCCAAAGATTCCATGACGATTTATCCCATGTTTGTGGGAAA